AGACGAGACGGACCAAGGGGAGGTAGGGGAACCTAAGTTTTTTCTTGGAGTGGAGGTTGTGAATGTGTCTTTGACATTCTATATTCTTCTTTGACTTGACGTGGCGCTCTTTCAACTACGAATCTACGTACCGGCTGCTTTTAAGACCCGACGAAAATCCCTTGACATGAGAGAAAGCACACGCAATAGATAGGACACCAAGAAAGGTGGTGAAGGGAGCATGGTCGGCTGGCAAATTCGCAAGGGCACGCAGATGCCGAGGTATGCACCTACCAAGTCCTGCCCGGTCACTTTCCTCGTGATTTGCAAAGTAGTTCTATCCCGCATGAGGGCATAGTAAGTTTAAGTTTCGGCCACTAAAACTTACGATTTGTTATCCAATACTTGCGAATTTCTCACTTACTTTTATCAAGTTTTAATTTTTTTTAAGATAATTTTTTTGTTGGTCAAAGGCAAAAAAATGTAGTTTTATTCTGTGCACGCACTCAGTTTCAAGAGTTGAAACTTAACATTTATTTTTTAAAATTCATCAAAATATATTTAAAATTGATCTTACTTCAAAGCCTTTGTCACGAGAAACACGAATATAAAAATAAGACTTCATTTAAACTTTTCGTTCAAAAGATATAAAACTTGAAAGCCAAAAATAAAAACACGCATGATGGACTGCATGCCGTGAGATCTGCGTGTTGTAAATCCTCTCCCGCAGTCAGCCGAGCAACTCCGTGTAAAGAGTGGAGATGGAGCCGCAGGACGTGATGAGTGGATATTTTTTTTGAAAAAGGAGAAAGACCCCCGGCCTTTGCATCTGGACGATGCATACAGTCACTTTATTAATTATGCACAAAAAACCTTACAAAGTAAAACAACAGTAAGACTGAAGCCACCATCTAGGAAACATCTGTCGCTACTCCTATCTAGTTGATGAAGGGATGTTGATAGTCTGGGCCTAATACCAAACAGACCTTGCAGCCAAACCTATCATCTAAGACTTGAGTCCCAACCAGGACGCCTGCCGGGTATGGGGCACCCACCGATCCGGCGCACACTCAGAGGCCGCCGCCGCCGCCGCCACCTACCACAAATCCATCTTCAGAGTTGGATGGCATCTAGCCAAGAGCAGGTTTTCACATAGATCTGTTCAAAGAACTCCATCCAGCTTCTTGTGCACAGATCGCCAGACCGCACATGTAGCCAGTAGCTGCTCCAAAACGATGACCACAAGAGGTAGAACGACGACGTACGTCGCCATCGTCCGATCCGGGAGGCCCAGATTTAGGGTTTCCCCCAAAGCAACTCGAGGAGGAAGACAAGAACTGCGCCAATGATGCCTTCATCAAGGTAGCGACGCCTCAAGACCCGCCATCATCGCCGTCAAGGACGGTCTGGTTTTCACCGGCAGTCACATCTCCCCACCTCACCGCCAACCGATCTATGAATCTCCATCCTCAGCTCAAACTGCATCGAGGACCGGCAAGCCGTGACCCAGATACGGAGGCGCACAAGGAGGGAAGACCGGTCAGATCAGACGACGCCAGTCGTTGGGGCGGCTACCACCACGCCATCCAAAACCTCCACGACGCCTCCACAGCACCGCCACCACCATCCAGCACCACACCGCCGCCACGTGCTGGGGCGTCGCGGTGCCACCGTGGCCCAGATCCTGTGTCGCGCCTCCGCGCGATTGGATGTCCCGCGCCACCCGATGTGATGAGAGGGGATAGCAGGGTCTCCTTCATCGCCATCGGCCGCCGGTGCAAAGCCAGACGGCTTCCTCCAGCAGCGACGAAGGCGAGGGAGGGAGATGAGATGCGCCTGGCGGCTAGGTTTGGGAGAGCCGCCCAAGTCGCCCGATGCGGGGGACGACACGGGGACGTGCTAATACCGCACTTTCGGGGCTTGGACGCTTGGTGAGCTACTCCCTCCATTTTTTTAATTTGCACATAAGATTTGGTTAAAGTCAAACTTTGTCAACTTTGACTAAGTTTACATAAAAAATATCAAGATTCACAATATGAAATTAATATTGTTAGATGCATCATGAAATTAGTTTTCATACCGTATAGCTTTAATATTATATATGTTAATATATTTTTCAATAAAATTGATCAAATTTTATAAAATTTGACTTTGATCAAATCTTATATGCAAAGTGAAAAGAAAGGAGGAAGTACTTTGATGAATGGTCGGCGATGCGTAATATTTTTTTTTTACTTCCGGCTGCGGGTTCCTCGCCGTGGCGAACCGGCCATTCTGTCGTAGGGTCGGTCAGAAGTTTACACGTTTGCCTATTGCGTGTCGCTTGCACGCGGCCGGGCGAAGCTGCATGATGATACGTGGGTCCATGTGTGCTATCTGCTGCCATTTGTCCACTCGTATGTCGGTTCGGTCCATCTGTATAAGTAACCTGGCACTCTGCGTGGACTCCTCAGCTTGCGCGAGAGAGTAAAGCAGTAGGTCGTGTCGCGTACACCCGTAGGTCTGCGTAGCCTTTAGTTCGTCGTCACCGGTGATCTGCGAGGTTTTGTGCGTCGTCATGACGTCATCGATGGACTCTCGTGCGAAAATTGATACGTCATTCTAGTCTGCGCCGTTCGTCCGTATGTACATATACAGTGCGCTGTGCGACAGAGAATGTCTGCTTGCATTTCGCAGTTTATAATATTATGGTATTAGTTTTGTTTGACGAGTAGCCGACCGGTTTAATGTGTAGGGCAAGCAGGCGTCGTGGTCCGGATCCCGCGCCGCCTCATGCTGGCCGAGGTCCTCCGGCAGGTCGGCGGCTCGCCGCCGGCGTACGCCACGCAGTGGCTGTCGGACGGGTACCTGGCCACCGTGCAGACCACGGTCCCCCTGCGGTGCCACCCTTGGTGCAGGACCGTGCTGCGGGTGGCCGGGGCCGTGGCCCGCGACGTGTGCGCCGCGGAGGAGGGTGCCGCCGACGCGCTGATCCGCCTGATGAGGAGCAGGCACGGCGTGCAGATCGACGACGCGAACTGGTCCCCGGCGGCGAGCAGGGCGCCGCGCCGTGCCGATACGCGCTGGTTCGCCGGGAGGGCGGCCGTTGTGAACGTTGGGGCGTACGGTGGATTCGCTTCGCCGTGGTGCCGTTCGTACGACGCAGTTCGTCTCGGTCGGGGTGTTGGCGTATCCGTGTGGTGATGTGTGGTCGTGTGTGATGTGTGTGTGTTTATGAATAAAAAATAGTATGAATAATGTTAGTACTTTTGTTTTTTCATGAGTATAATGTTTGAAATATGTGCTTGGCTGTAAACGTCGTGATGCTTCTGTCTGTTTTATAACGGCATGCATTTTCTTTTTCAAATCATGTTTCTTAGGTTAGATCGAAGAATGATGTTACTTGGGGGTTTTAATGAATGTTTCTCAAAAAAAAGGGGGGTTCTAAGGCCTTCCACTATATAGGCCAAAAGAGGTGTCAAATTGACTTCTGGCTCCGATAGCCAGTGCCCTCACGTTGTGAGGCCGGTGCCCCAACAAAATTTTCATGGCATCAGAGCAAGGAGCACCGATGCCCAATTCCTCTAGCAAATAAAATACTATTAACTCTCAACTTTGAACAGCAAATGTCTTCTCTCTCTTTGCTCAATACACAGCAGCGTGGTGTACTTGTTTATCGTATGGGTCCCAGAATCTTTTTCCTGCCGAAGCCCTACGCAGTGAGATCGATGCCTGAAAAGCAATTTTGGGCACCGGTGATGAGGTGGCTGCCTTTTGATGTATTTGGCACCGGCTACGCTGTGGAAGGCCTAATGAATAGAGAGGTTTAGCTCTTTTTTTCTTAGGCCAACACACACTTTATTAAGTCTCAATGAGTAAAAGGGGACAATGTGTGTACCCGGGGGGGCTCTAAGAGTCCACGCGTACCGACTAGGTTCAAGAGAAAAAACAAACTCAACAAGATTATGAGCTTAGGTATTTTAGCCTCTGTTTTCATGATAGTAGATGGTTTCTTCAATGAAATTTGCTTTCATGACAGTAGATGGTTACTTCAATGAAATTTGTCACTATTGCCGTATTGCGTGTATCTATTATCTAAGATAATACACAGTGAGGCACCCGACGATTCTACTTTTGCGACCATCAGGGCAGGGTCGACATGAAGCTTGTGATTTAGTCGGTAGGATAGTGGTCGAAGCAGTGGCATTGGTTTTCCCAGACAGGAATGGAGGCTGTCTTCTTCTTCTAGGTAGTTTCTGTGTATAATGAGTTAACATTGAGCTACTGATCTTTCATTATGTGCGACATATTGTGAACGTCACATCACACCATTGCAGTATTAGCTTGTCTGGCCGTATCTGCTGCCTCCCAGAACACAGGAAAGAGTTCCGTTTGACAATCCAAACACACGCATAGATTGTTTCAACCACTGGTTACATACTCAGTTGGTTAATCAACACAAGACAACTCGATCTACAAAACTACATATATGACTCTTATTTACACGTATAATACCTAGGCAGAACGGGTGAACCTAGGACCCTGCAGACCCACCACATTCACAGGTAAATATGCAAGTGATCATCCGTATATGAGCTTACAAATACTACTGTACTACACATAACTTAGCCTTCCAGTACAGCTTAAACAGAAAGGTTTCGTTTCAGACCGTGCCACACCGTATGTCACACCCACAGAACACCCAATCCGTGTTTGTCTAACATAATGTTACAAGATGAATCGAATATACAAGTACATACACCAACACAATGCTCTCTTCCGTTCCTCGGTTATACAACACGGGCTTATACAAATTACATTAGCAAAACACTCACACTGTACGTCCGTTGTCACTACCACTTTTGGTCAACTATGGATGACTTCTTTGCCAATGACTGCCTCCTTGAACTTGCTTGTGAACACGTTGTCTTCGTATCTAGTTGCCCCACCAGAGAGAGAAGAGAGAGAGGGAGAGGATGTACTGCAGCATCTTCATGATAAAAGTATAGTTTACATCTAGTTTGTTTCTTCCGGGGCCCAGTCTACCACGATTGCTCCGTGCCGTCATTACCTGTAACGTTTCTTTTTTTACATGCATAAAAGGAGGCCATAAACAAGAATGTGCAAGGTTGTCAAGTAAAAGGAAAAATATGGCTTTTCCCGTATGCTACCTTTTCTTCTTGGTCTTTTCGCTAGAGGAAGCTGTGTTGCTGCTGTGCCAGTTCCTTTTGCGTTGGTTGATGAACCAATTGTTGATCTGCTTCAGTTGTAACCCCGTCTCCTGCACCAGGCGAGCCTTGTCGTCTTCCTGGATGGGTCAGGCAGGAATTGTTCGTCATGGACAGAAACTAATAGCAAGATGAAGCTTGGAAATGGTAGTATCACGTACGGTAGGGTACGGCCACTTGGAATGAGCTTGCCACCAGGCTTTCAATGTAGCTGCAGTATCCCCGGGAAGTTTACCAGCTCTCCTCTTGCGCATGATCTCCTCCCTGATATCAACCAGCTTTTCTTTGTACCCCTAGAGGTAGGAAGTTTTTGTTAGTCGTTAAACATGTTGGTCACTCTTCAGCCATGAATGATGCAATGAAGCACTTTTTAGGCTGCAATGTTATTATTACCTGTTTAAGCTCACTCTTCAGCTCATGCCGAACACGTTCAATCAAAGACCGTTCACCCTCGGTCAATATCAGGGGACCAAAGCCCATACCATCTGACCCATCGTTTCCATCAAACATGTTGGTCTCACTATCCACTTGGTTATCTTCATCATCGGACATAGTCGCCCCAGTGCCTTCACCAGGAGATGCCCCTGCAGGATAAATCCACAGGAGCACAACTCAGTTTTCCATTTATTCTATTTATGATAATCAACACTTCTTTAGGTTATCCTCAAAAAACATGTGTTCTACTCCCTCCGTTCCTAAACATTTGTCTTTTTAGAGATTTCAAATGGACTACCACATACGGATGTATATAGACACATTTTAGAGTGTAGATTCACTCATTTTGCACCGTATGTAGTCACTTGTTGAAATATCTAGAAAGACAAATATTTAGGAACGGAGGGAGTAAATGTAAACATATAAACATCTGAAGACTAAAACATCTAAAGAAATGTGCAGATTAAGTTCCAAAGTGAAAAATTAAGGTATGCAAAGTGAATTCCTGTACATATTCTACCCTGTAACTAAAGCTGTGATTCATAAAAATTGTTGCTGAAGCCTCGAACATGACCGTAAAATTATGGCATCTGTGACCTACAAAAGCACACAAAACGGAAAACCGGAAAACGTACAAGCATAAGAGAGAAGACTTTGGCAGGCAGACCAGAGCATCCTAATCATTCATTCATCACAACAGATTAAAAGTTCCCACCCAAATATGCTCGATACTTAATGCATGTTAAACAAATCCAGACTAACTGTTGATATCTATTTCATGAATGGGTCTTGATTTCATAAATAACTTCAGTAGATTAAGTAATGTGGCTTCCACATGTGCACTAGCTAGTATACCTAAGAAGATACTCCCTTTATATTGTATTGTAAGGACAAAGCCTTTATATCATATTGCAAGGACAAAGATTTTTCCTGCCTATTCTTACAATAATAAGACGTGCATGTTAATTTACCGATGTTTTTGTTGTTTCCTCATTTATCAAACTTTCCTTCTCCTTACTTATAAGGGCCAATTCACGAGTAATTCCCTCTGCAAATTCCAAGGCGTTTTATAATTTGAAATGCAGGGCATAAGTATAATAACATATGGTCAGATCTGTGGTCATGAATGGTACTCCCTCCGCCCGGAAATACTTGTCGGAGAAATGGATGTATCTAGACGTGTTTTAGTTCTAGATACATCCATTTTTACCCATTTCTCCGACAAGTATTTCCGGACAGAGGGAGTACTTAAGAGTGCCAAACTTAATGTTATTTTGGCAGTTGTAAAGAGGTGAGGCAAGGAGGGGGGGAGGGTGTCCTTTTCTCTTTAACTTTGCTGCAAGTTGTCTGCATGAAGTTCAGCTGGCACAGGAAAATGATTTATTTGTTGGGCTAGTACCCCACATCGAGACTCCCCCACATCGGATGAATCATGGCATAGCAATATTGCAGCATGCTGATGATACCATCTTGCTCATGCAAGATAAGCTGGGAGGTGCCTGGAATTTGAAGCTGCTGCTTTACATGTTTCAACAAATGGTTTGAAAATGAACTTTCAGAAAAGTGAAGTGATGATGATGATGATAAGGGGCTGATGTATGCTGATATGTTCAACTCCCAAAAGGGAGTATCATATTGAGTACCTGAGAGTACCAGTGTGTAGTAGCAGATTACTTGTGGGCATGTGGCCGAGTGGGCGCCATTGAGGAAAAACTCAAGCAGACTTGATGGATGGAAGGGAGGAACTCTATCCATGGGGGTAGAGTAACTTTGATTAAATCTAGTGTGTCCAGTAACCTCATTTATCATATGTCAATGTAAAGGCTGCCGAAGACAAATATTGATGATATGAACAGAACAATTAGGAAGTTTTTCTGCCAGGGTGGTGGCACCAAAAGGAAATATCATATCGTTAGGTGGCCTATCATATGTAGACCCAAGAACAAAGTTGGCCTGGGCATTCATGACTTGGAGAAAATCAATATCGGCCTGTTGTACAGGTGGAGGTGGAATTTAGCGAAAAGTGAAGGGATGTGGCAGGAGATTGTGAGAAAGAATTAAAAAATACAATCTAGGATTTGACAGGTTGCTCGAAGTGCTGCTGATACAGCAAGTTGGGCTGATTTGGTAAACGTCATATCTTGGTATCTGCTCAGCGGAGTTATGAAAATAGGAAATGGAAGGCAGACTGGCTTCTGGGAAGATATACTTGGTGCAGCTCCAGGCTTCTGAGCCAAAACAATACTGACCTGTTTGCGATCAGTAGTGATCTTGGGTGCAGTTTCAGGCAAAGGGCAGATAGAGGGTGGCAATGTAACATTAGGAGATGGTTGGAGGCAGATTTGCAAGAACAGGCTGCAGTACTACGAACTGAGCTCAGGGTGGCTCTGAACAAAAACGCAGCTGTACCCTGCTGGACATGGATGCAAGCGGATGGTGTCTGCATGTCCACGACCGTCCGCAGAGCAAAAATTGCACTAATCTTCATTACTTTAATAACCATGTTAGTGTAAACTTTCTGTTCGCGGATGGTCACGGACATGCGGACGCCGTCCACTTGCATCCCTAGGGCCAAGCTTGGCAGGTTCACTGTCTATACGCACATATCAGATTATGGTCCTGATTGATCCTTTAAGCATCTTTGAAAAGCCAAAACTCCAGAAAAGATGAAAACTTGGTTCTGGCTGATTTGGCATAATCCCATAGCAACCAAGGACAGCATGGTAAAAAGGCCATGGGCAGGGGACCCTCTGAGTGGCTTTTGTCCTCAACATGAGAGCATTCACCGCTTGTACTTTGGCTGGCCTGCTGCTAAATACATGTGGTGTTTGGAGCAATGGATTGGTGTAGGGGCAGGCCTGGCGTTTCTCTAAGTATTTTTGGGGGATACCCAGAAATCTTCCTGCCAATCAGAAGATGCAGATTGTTGGCCTTGCAGCATTATGCTGGGATATGTGCAGCTTAGATACAGAGCTTGTTTTACAATAAAATAAATTAATTAGATCACCTGCAGAAATAATTTGCTACTCGCGCAGTTGTGCTGTTTCCTGTTGTATTGGGCAGGTATTCAAAATGCCGATGACCGAGCAGCCCTAGAAATGAGGGCAGTGGCACTGCAACTTAAAGCGCCTGCCCCGCATGATGATGGTGCACATGAAGCTGGAGGTGAAACCCTGCATATTACTCATCCTGGGCCTGGTGAAGGAGATGGTCCAACTGTTGATCCTTCTCATGGTGCACTTGATGACCGAGAGTGTTTTGATGGATGCTCGCTTTGCTGTTTGTGATCCTAAAAGTTGCTGGTTGGCTTAGGTGTTAGGCATCTTTGGTACGTGGTGTTGGCTGGAGTGCCGCTTTTGCAGCCCTTGGTACTGTATGCCTCTCTGGCTGTAAATCTAGATCGAACCTCTAGTGCTTCTAGTGTTAGGGTGGTAGCTGAACTGCTTTTGTTTTCTGTTTCTGCACTGGATCTCTGCACCGTTATTGGTACGATAGTGGGACCCGGTCCTTTCTTGGATCGTATGGAATATAAGTATAATAACATACAACGGAAGCTCATAAGCATTAAAGGTAGGCCTATGATAGTTGGAAATTTCTTAAATCAGTTAATCCTATCGCTCAAAGTTTACACAGTGGGAAACCTTTTAAAATATTTAATTATGTTATCCGCCTGATATCCATTTTTCTTTCATTTTTCATTTCAACTACCACCCTTTTTGGTTTCCACATTATAAATAACTACATACTATATACTTGCCACTCTGCTCAAGCAATATACACAGATAAAAGCTTTCATTTACCTGTTAGACTTTGTAAGGATTGTTCAAGCTCCCAACAACCCATCACTGCTTCCATTGCATGAACACGCACATGCTGCTGGAGTTGTTCTTTAAATGAACAGAGAAGCAATACATAATGTGTCTGCAATCCAATGAAGAATAATTAGAACCCATAAGAAGGATTGTACACAGAAAAAGAATATTGTGCTAGATGTAAGCAACATATTCATTTCTTAGAAGATATACAAGTTTCAGAAAAGTAAAGGAAATTCTAGTCATGCGACATAAAAGCATTTTAGATGATCAGTAGAAGTAAGGGCACTACTAAATAAGATTGAAGTAAAGACAGAAATGGGCAATTCATACAGGCGAGCAGGTCTACTAGTATGACATTTCAGGTCTGACAAATAAGCTGTTAATACCACAAAAAGGCCCGCCAATGACCCATGGCGTATCTATACTACTCCCTCTATTCCTAAATATAGGTTTTTTAGAGATTCCAATATGGACTACATACGGAGCAAAATGAGTGAATCTACACTCCAAAATATATCTACTCCCTCCGTTCGGAATTACTTGTCGCAGAAATGGATGTATCTAGACGTATTTTAGTTTTAGATACATCAATTTTCGAGACAAGTAATTCCGAACGGAGGGAGTATATACATCCATATGTAGTTCATATTGAGATCTCTAGAAAGACTTATATTTAGGAATGGAGGGAGTACTTCAACAAGTATGGTGCCACTATATGGATGAACCTCAGCGTAGGATATATACTGTATCTGCTTTGGTTTCATTTCTCATTCATACAAACAAATTGATAAGGCTATTGCAGCAGCGTTGTTACAATAACCAGCAACCACTAGTCAGATCGACCCTCCAATTCACCATAAGGAGCACATCAGAAATCCATCACTGGCCCTAATCAAAACCTATGCAAATTTTATCCCAATTTCTCCCTATTCCGAATTCCAATTGTTCACACGAAACATATACAGAATACATGTACGGCACCCAGTGGCAACGCAGGAAAAAATAGGCAGGGGCGTGAAAGCCATAGATACCATGAAGAGGTCGAGCTCCTCGCCTCCGGAGGGCCCGCCCGCGGCGGCGGCGGCGGCGGCGAGGGGGGGCGGGCGGGCCGCGATCTGCGCGTCGATGCGGGGGAGCTGGTCGACGGGGGTGGCGACGCGGAGGCAGGCGACGTGGGCCTCCAGGAGCCGCTCGTACAGCGGGTGCGCCGCGATGGCCGCCTTCTCCCTCTCCCCGCCGCCGCCGCCGGGAGAGAAGCTAGGGTTTGGCGACGAGGCAGCGGCCGCGGCGGCC